CAGAAAAGGTTTTGATTTTAATGGAGCTGACCTTGTTGTGGTAGGATACAGCCAACAAGTCAAAGACAAGTCAAGGCAGATGTCCTTTCAGGGAGTAACACAGAGCCTTCTTTAAGTTGGGTGGTCAGGAGAGGTTCCCTGAGAAGCATTCATTTAAGTTGAGAGCTGATGCCAGCCTGGTTGCCCTTTCATACAGCAAGGAAAAACTGGGCAGAGGCACCTGGGAAATCTTCAAATTTAAATATTACTGTGCTTTTTGCTTGGAAAATCTCGAGTAAAATAAAAAAAATTTAATTTCATCAATAAGCAATGGTAGATTCTAACACTTGGCATGAATTTGGCAAACAAAGACAGAGATGCTTAGATTTTGGAAGGCTTTTTTCCAGCTTTTCAAATGAAGGTTAATGTCCTGAACCTTGCGGGTCTCTGGTGGGTGTCCGTGTTGGGCCCAGTAATGCTCCCCATACCACACAACTGCTCAGTACTGGAAGATGAGTGAAGTACTGGAGATACCTCCTGGCTTGGCAGGTGTTGGGGCCTCACCGGTGTGCACGATGCTGTTGTCTCAGGTGTGGGTCAGCGGCTGACGCACACTTGAGACAACAGCACCGTGCACACCGGTAAGGCCACAACTGTATTCCTATCAGCATAGGCCCCTTCCTGAGAAGCTGCAAGTCTAGGCTTCACTCTAGTAGAGGCTCCCTTAGGCCACGCTATTCCACCCCTAACAACTTCTTTACTTTCAAAGAGAAGGAAAGAACCCCAAACAAAACAAACAAGGACACATATCTATACCTTGATACCCTTCATGTCTGCAGAAAGGCTCTGGTTTTGAGCTGAGGCAATATAATATCCTGGCAGGTAAAGCTGTAACCTCATGCCACATTTGCCTCTTTGACCATTGGGAAAGAGTCCATTTTGGTTTCCAAACACTCTATAACCCTAAATCACCCAGTGCTGGTCCCTAAACACTTGACTCTCCAAGGTAGCATACTGTGCATTCTTTTCCCTCTCGTATATGCTTTTTCCTCCTACTCCTACATCCCCCACTACTTTTTTGGGTCAGGACTCTCGCTGGTAGAGTGTCTTCCAAGGGTAGGATCAAGATCAAAAGGCAAAAGGCATTTAAAAAAGAGACGAGCGACATCCTATTCTCTGTCCTATGGAAGAACACTTTCTGCTCTCCTGGTGAGTATAAGAGGCTTCTACAGTATTTGCTTTTGGAGAGTGACATCCTCCAAAATGAATATCCCGTGAGAAATATCCTATGAGAGGCCCTGTGCTCTCCGGGAGTACTCGGTGTAGATTTGGGTGTACACGGAACACACTTTCCGGAAGCCTGTGGAGTGTCTTCCGTCTGTTTTCTGTTCTACTTGAAGCTGCTGCTCACCCCACGTGCCCACGACCTCCGTGGAGGCCAGTGCTCCCGGGGTGGAGTGGAGGGCGCCTCCAGGAAGGAGCCGGGCGCGGGCGCGGGCGTCCCG